GTATTCTATGTATATGGTGTGCTGGCGACGGATAGCGCGGTTACCAATCGAAAATGGTTTTGCAACCTTTGTACCCGTAACATTTTTTGCGGAAAGAACTGATTTTTAATATTTTTTACCAAGACTAGCATTGTGAGACCTCCAATACTAGTTTTGATTGTTTTCAACTCTCTTCCTTTGTGAAATGTTCCATTCACTGGGCTTACTTATGTATTACTTATTGTATTATTTGTGTCTGCGTAGAATATATTTATTTATGGCATATGCCGTAAACGAGCAGGCGGATCACCTGATGGTAAGCAATCGGCGTCGCCCATGGACACCTGGAACACCAGAAGCGTTACGACTGCGTTACCGGCTTTTTGGGGATTAGTAGTTTGAGGATTGTTGGGGATTCGGGGATTGGGGAGATTGAGGAAGGATGGAGAGAGCTGGGATTTCGGTAACCTCACTCACATGACGAAAGCGTTACTTCACGTCGGTTTTCTGTAAGGCCGTGGTATCACTCCGGTCGAGTCGGCCCATTCGTGCCGAAGCATGGCTCTCCCACATTTAAAGGGCAATATTTTAGGACAACTTTTTTTGGATCTGTTTCCCAAAATAAAAGTAGCTTATGTTACTCCTTAAAATCAGCTACCTGTCAATAAAAGTCCCGTCAACATCAGTCAAGCCAATATAGAGATTAGCCAGTACAAACAGATAGACAGACAAGACAAAAACTGTAAAAAATGTTTTTTTAATGTGTGTATCGTATGTATATTAATATTATTCATATCGTAAATACAAATGTAATAAAAAGCGGTTATTTTATTTTTACAAATAGACACTCCAATTTTACATCTATATAGATCTTACATACCTATTGTGACTATTAATAAGGTTCTCCTGTGTTCTCATAATTTATTTACCATGTTTACCTTAACTATCGTTGAGTACCCTCATAATAGACACAATTAAAGAACAATAGGTTTTTTTTAAGGGGGAAAATCATCGAATGACTGCTCCCGCCTGGGTGAGGCGGGAGGGAGTGTCAGACTCTTACTGAATAAAAACCACCCCGTTCCTTCTCCTGCACGTCGAGTCGGAGCCCCGGTTACCCGTTAGGTTCTCCGCGACAAGAACAATAGGTTGCGGTCACCGGTGACCGCTCGGTGTTTGACAGTTTAAATAAGTTAGGTATGTGTGGGCCCGAAGAATCAAACGTTTAGCTTTTCTATCAAAGCGACACTGTGCTTCCACATAGTTCTACTTATATATATATATATAAATATACATCACGTAGGAAGTTTGACATCCAAAAAAACGTTTCAAATACAATATTTCCGAGGAGCAATACAAGGACATGTCTTTATCGCTAGACTGTATTAAATGTGTTTAAGAATACAATACGACATAATTAAGTTTAAAGGCATGAGTAGAAATATATTGTACAAATATACGCATTTTCAGTGGTTTTCAAGTAAGATAAATTACCTAATACGATACCATTCTTGTTCCAAAAATCGAACGAATTTGTTTCAATTTGAAGCCAATTGAAATACACAGACGAGACCCAATTTTTCAATACCCTGAGGGGCAATTTCGCAAACAAATTCCCTTTAATTCAACAAAATCGACTTGTTTATAAAAAAAGTCGATAAGCGATAGCAATAGAGAAAAATATTTATAATACAAACCAATTTATGATTATTGGTTTTTTCTTCGAAAATATTTCAATGGAGTTTAAAATAATGTCCGATATATTTATATATTAGTGGTAGTTTTCTCGCTTAGATTCTTAATTCATGAGACTCATTAGAGGAACCTCAAAAAGTATCGATATCTTTGCTTTAAAATCCATAATAAATGTATAACTCATGATAGTAGCTAAGTTTCATCTAGAACTCTCAGTACACAATTTACGTTCCCTTTTCTTAGCACTAACCAAGAAGAAAAGCACTCATATAAAAGTAAATAGAAGTTGGACAATACCAATATAAGATGGAGACAGGACTTCGCCCGACATCCCTAGGGCTTCAAACTTTTGTAGGAGCCGATGATATCAAACCGTTTATCCCTACAGGAGTATCGTAGTTATGAAAAAAGGGATCCAAAGCCGCCTTGTAATCAAACTTTTCTAGAATTTTCTTCTTAGTTGTTAAGTGGATGTGTCCAAAAGTTTGCCCGTGGAAATAATACCCGGTCAGAAATAAAAATAGTTTTGTCATAACAAGTCATCCTGTATGTTTTTACACGAAAAACGTTATAAACATGTAAGTTAAAAAAAATATTTCCGTTATGTTTACGTTCTTGATAATAATGAACATGGAATTTAAACAATTTATTTATTTATTTTGTTTATTATTTGTACACACATAAAACACAACAGACAACACATATAGAAAAACGAGGTAAATAGGTCAATTATAACAATTGAATTGTGCAAGACATAAGAAGTTCAAAAATAAATTCAAATAAACAAAACATCTTAAATTTAATCCACAGTAACACTACCTGGGCTTAAAAAATATAACTTAAATTCACCTAAAGATAATCTAATTAGCGAAAATTATTAATAAAGTTAAAACATAATTACTTTCTTAATAAATATTTATGACGATAATTGGTGAAAATTAAGACATTAGGCGAATTACAGAGGAATTTTCTGCGGGGCCCGTACATTGTGTCGTGTAATTAGTTTTCCTAATATGAGTAGGTATGCGAGGGTATCATTGTTATACGGGAATAAACGATAAAAGGGTAACATTATAGAGAATGGTTATGGTAATATTTTCATTCGTCTCAAGTGGAGGTCTTGATCGTGGTAACTATGTTATCGTATTTTTTCTAAGATGGTTGTTTTTTAAATACAAAACGCAAATGTGATTGTAAGTATATCGAGTAATTGATCGTAGAGACAAGTCTAGATGTAATAGTATTATGAAAATGAAATATAGACAGATTTATTGACACAACGTCTTCAAGTGTGGGATATTATTATACTATTAAGTGTGGGAGAGCTTCGGCACAAATGGGGCTGGCAAGGATGAAACAAGGATTGCGTGGTATTTCGTCGTGTGAGTGAGGTTATCGAAGGCCCAATTACCACGCCCCTTCTCGAATCTCCCCAATCCCTAAGTCCCCAACAATCCTCAAATTCCTAATCCCCAAAAGGCTGGCAACGCACTTATAATGCCTCTGGTGTTCCGGTTATCCATGAGTGACGCCGATGCTAACTATGAGGTGATCCATCTGCTCGTTTAGCAGCTTATACTACAAAAAAAAACAGACCTTAACTAGCGATTATAAACACTTACATCAAAACCTTTGAAGCTGTTGAAACAGAAAAAATTATGATACTTATATCAACAATTCTTACCAAAGTTACACACAGCAGACGCCTGCGACGCAAATAAATCTCGGTAAGATACAAGCGTTCTTGCACGGTCTAACTAAAAATCAACATTGGCGCGACCCTTGTTTGTCCATTAGCTTGCCGCTAACTGTACAAATAAGAAAAGAATGGCCGAGAAACGTTGACAACGTTTGTAAGCATTTTGATGAAAATTTCTGTCTTATAAAATATTTTCTTTTTTTAACAATTCGCTGACATGTCGTTAAGAAATTACAAAATCTTATGAGATTTTTGGAGGCTCGGCTTAGTAATAAATGTGAAAGATATTTTTTTAACGAAATTGCTAAACCTTAGTTTCGGTACTAGGAACATTATGAATAGTTTATTAAGCCAATTATATGTTCCTTTTGTGCTAAAGACCCGTCATCAAAGAGTATAGTAGTATATGGGATCCCGTCATACACGACTGACTCTCGTAGTCATAGATAAATAACTCATACTCTTATCATATCAGTGTTCGTATTTCACTGATTGCGTCAATAGGTTTTATTAGGCTAAGCTATCTTGGATAAATTTTGATCACTAGACAATAGACAAATAAAATAAGCTACTATCAAATATTCGTCATTGCAGAAGTAAACCTATTTAAAACTATATCATTATCCTTTTTGCAGCATTTTAGTTTTGATAGAAGTTTGATAAATGAACATTTGACTGTATGTGATGACAATGTCATTAGTATTTTGAGTTTTTGTGAACTATTATAATTTTTGAGTTTATATTTTAATATTAATAAAAATGTATTATTTATTTATGCTCTTATATTTATATCTTTAAAGCGAATGTATTTTTTATTTCATCATGACAGAAGTACGTACGTGGTTTCATTTTTATTTAAATAATGTAATTTGACAAACATAAATCACAGTTGAGAACCTAAATAAAACACTGTTACATAGAGTTTAGATATTAATAATTTAGTTTTTTTAATTATATAAGGAAATGGTGATCCAATAATACTACAGGGCAAAGTACCAAAATATTGGACTTTTAATTTTTCCAAATTCCTTGATCATAACTAGAGCAGTCTTTACTACCTCAGAAAAAGATTCGACATATTACATGGAGCTTGATAAAATCGATGTGGTAATTTCTACACCGTACCGAAACAAAAGCCATCCAGATTATTTAAATTAATGAATGGCAACAACTTCTTTGTATTATTCAGAAAACCAAGTTCTATTGGAAATGCCAGGACCCGTGTGCTGTGTACGAAAAAGCAGTCATTACTCAATATACGAAAAAGCGATTTTATAGGACAACTCCATTAATTATTACATTCGGTACGTATGAAAGCAGTAGTTATTGATTTACATAGCTACTTAAATTTAATCATTAATAATTTCAAGATTTATTACACCTGACTTGCATTGGGGTAGGCAGAGACAATGGAACGCCAAATGACACGATTCGCGATGCTATTTACTTTAGCGATATGATAACGTAAAATTAGGCAAATATAAGAAGATAGATTGAGGCCACTCCAAATGACTTAATTATATAAAGAATAGGTGTTTTTACACTTTCTTCCACAGGCAATGCCGTCTTATCAGAATTTGATATAAATAGTTTCATTGAATTGGGCCTACGAGTAATGAGATTCAAGATGAATGCTCTAACAATAACAGAAAAATTGAAATTTCTCACGTTAGTAGATAAAGCTCTTCAATGGTACTGTGTAAAATATAATGTATTTACTTGGCCTTTACCATTAGCTGCTGATGTTCCTAACTCTGTTATAAAAACAGGATTTATTGGAAACGTAAGTTGTGAAGTGATTTTTGTTCTATCTCCATCAGTTTTGGTCACCGTTAGAGCGGACGCGTTGGACTCCATCCTATCTTTGTGTTGGTGACTAGACCAACCCGTATCTGAGTGCATTGCCAACGAATGCAATCAATTTAAACTAGATTCAACCAAAATGAAAGATACTACCCGCAACACCAGAGGCATAGGTGCGTTGCCGGCCTTTTAAAAAGGGAAGGAAGGATATTATCAATAAAATACTTTTCAGACACTAACATACCTCTATTATCCATCTATCGTCATCTATACCAATTATTTATGCTTAATAGGGCATCTAGCCTATTTTTTATTTTAGTGTCCGTCTGATAGATTGTTTAAGATCATTAGACACGTATTTTTTATTTTATTACGGAAACGAATAGTTTGGAAAATATATTAATTTTAAATATCGCATGACGTCACTTGAGTACGATTTATTCTCTAAAATGGCGTAGCTACATCTACTCCTAAACTTTGATTCGTTTTATCAAAGTATTGTTTTCTTATATGACAAATTACAAAATTACGTGTCTAATATTTTTTCATTACCTAACTGACGACGAATTAGATTTTTAATTTTCATACCTTTTCTTATTTTTAGAAAAATGAAAATCCTAACGGTATAACTTTACAATATAATTCTATTGTAGAAGTTACTTGTGAGAAAAGTTATGAAAACTCTTGCAATGTAAAAAGAATTTTCATAGACGATTGTTACATCGTATCTGATATTTTGCCAACAACAGAAATTACTATAAACTAAATAAAGATGAACGATAACAATATTAGATGCAAAGTTACATCCGAAGGTCAATTGATAGATCAATCCTTTTTTTGTATTCGTGGTGTCATTCACAAAAAGCCAAGCTTAAATGACACTGATTTGGAGATAATTCAGTTAGCAAAAAAATTGAAGGTAAAACTACAGAAATTCATATGTTTACTATTAACTTAAGAACAGATTAAAATTAAACTGTCTTGTTTGTTACAGTTTGATATAATAACATTGAATTTAATGCGTAATGCCAGTACAGTCAAACAAGTTAGGACGCTGACTGCAAAGCAAAAGCCGTTGCTAATTAGCGTCTTATGTGAACAAGAGGGCTTGGATAATATAGACAGTATTATCAAGGTAATATAATAATGATTATTTTCCAGCCATACACTGTAAGTAATCCAATATAGATCAATTCTGATAAACTTTCCGTCTAGTCAATTGAGGTCTTTTTTAGTTCATATATTCTTAGAATATTATAATTTTACTGAATGCTTTCTCTGCCATTTTATCTTGCCCTTCTCTTCCTTCTTACAAATAGAGTATATTATCGGGTATCTATCATTCTCTGTATCATAATTTACGTGATATAGAAACTAACAATCTTATGGTTTTAGGAGTCAGATGGTGTCAGTCAGAACATGAAATAAAAGACAAGTACAAAATAATTCCCATACAATTGAATGTTACAGCTAAGTGTCGCATGGTAGTTTTCTTTCTTAATGTGCAAAAGTGCTGAAACCACACCGTCGTATCAATTTATTTAATGATTTCATCTCACTAATCATATTTTTTCAAGAATCTCAATAGACTTATATTTTTATTTAATCATGCGTCATATTAGATCAAATCTCCTCTGACGATTTCTAGTTCCAACTTTAATTTACAGTTCGGTAGACCATTGTACCTATCTGGGGACATCTTGCAAAATACTTTAGACATGGGTCATAAAATGTCTTCGATGGAAATCAATAATATTACTTATGCAATACTGCAAAAGTCTGGTTTTGTCCTACGGTCTTTCAAAAACCCCGATAATTTGGTCAATGCTTTGCGCACACTGCACGATATCTGCAGTGTAGTCGAGCCTTTATCGCGAATCGATGATGACTTTATGAGAATATGCCAACAGGTATAATTTTTTCTTATAATTATGTTGTTGTAATAATTCATTTTATGTAAGTGAAAGGCATTGGCCAAGTATTTTAAAAATACTACACTTACGCTACAGGTGCTAAATTTTAATATTCGTGGATTATAAACTCCTTATAAACTAGTTAACTATCGAAGAGTATTGTTACAACTTCATACAATTTTTGGTTCTCAAACCACTTTCTACAAAATTATTACCACTACATTAATTTAGAATTAAAAAATGTTAATAATTTTGGGAATCAATTTGCAGTACAAACAGCCGGTCACTGCTGCTCTAGCTGTGATCCAGGGCGCAATTTTATTGGCAAAGCTAACAAATTCTTTGGTCATTATTGTGCCTACTGTATCTGGTAGAACAATAAAACAGCTAACTACAATATCTGTTGACAACATTTTTATTGCTATCACCACAAGTACAATAGCTGCCAAACAACTGCAGCTCCTTAAAGGAGTTCTTGCAATAGAGTACGACAGTAAGTAAATCAATGTTACGTCTCATTTTAAACTAACAGCTCCAATATCAGATCCAAGAGTTTTGATTGAATCTAACAAATAAAATGTAACCAGCTGCAGTCAGCTTTGGTTAGTTGGTTTTTTTAGTTGTCTAACTAACATAGTGCTTGTCACCAAAAAAATGTGCTGCTTAATTATGTAGGAATACCTCTTACAAAAAATCTTAAACACATTAAGGGTGCGTCTAGCGAATGTTTCACAAATATGCAGATCGCGAGCCGATTGCGAGCTGCCTGTGAGCTGAACGCGTGCATTTAAAATTATTATTTATACTAGCCTTGCATGAATTGCTACAAAGAGGTGCCCCAAAGCATCGCCGTGACTGCACGCGCAGTGCAGTGAAGCTCGCAAACGGTTTGCGAGCAAGATGTGGACGCACCCTAAAATAGCAGTAGGTGAATAACATAGATGATAATATAGATGATGATGATAATGATAATAATAGAATTTTTAAATGAAGAATGGGGTAGACGACTAATTTTTATTTTAATGTCCGTCTGGTAGATTATTTAAAAACATTAGACACGTATTTTTTATTTTCTTACGGAAACGAATAGTTTCGAAGATATATTGATTTGAAATGTCGCGTGACGTCACTTCTCAGTACATTTTATACTAAGGAATGACGTTTTAACCCCCACTCCTAAACTTTGATTCGTTTTATCTAAGTATTGTTTTATTATACAACAAAATAAAAAAATACGTGTCTAATATTTTTTTATTACCTAAGTTACGGACTAATTATATTTTTAATTTTCATACCCTGTCATCATCCCCATT